ACTAATAAAGAATTTCTCTGACTAATATTTCCTTACAAAGATGTAAGGAAGTAAAAGAGTAAGTTCAGGGCTTTTTTAAAATAGGAAAAATTACTAGATACTCAATGCCTCTACACAGTTTAGAAGCTGAGATCAATAAATTTCAGGGCTGAAGACCCTATATAATAATTTCTCTAAAACATAGTCATCTTCATCTAACAAGACAAGAAGAACTTGGATCTTCCTAATATGGGAGATGTTCAGTAAGACCTGCACTCACACAGAGCCATATCTTCTCACTTCTCAGAAAAATAGTAAGAGCACCGTGCTTGTAGTGTGGTATTATATCACTAAGCCCACATGCTACACAATGTATTACAGCGTAGTAGATTTACTGGTACACTATGAATTATCAAATAATTAAAACCACAATTTTTAAAGTACATTTTGTGATCCATTATCCTTGCTTTGTTTATTCACTTGCCAATTGACAAAACTCACTAATTTGCAAAGGGTCTCCCAGTCACTAGTGAAAACTAGTAGCATTCTAGTATCAGTTACTAGGGATGAAAGAAATACTAAATACTGATTATGTATTCTAACATAATTTAATCCTCCTATACATTATTTTTGATACACCCAACCCATGGACTTCCTCTAGCTGGTTTAATGTATTTATCTGCTCTCTGTGACCAGATTCAAATTCTGAAGTTAAAAATTAAGTTTCTAGCTCTTCCAGATGAGAAGAAAAACTTCCAAATGGGCAAATGTAAATGAAGAAATACTCACAGAATTATCAATGTAAATTTGCAGACAGCCTGAAACAGCTCTAAAAAACATGATCTGCCCTCAATCTCAGAGGTGTGTTATATTATAAATAATAAGAATAATACCACCTAGCTTTTTTCATAAGTAATCTCAAAGGACTTTATTAAGTTAGCATCATCTCCATTTTACAGTTGGAAAACTCCGTTTTACAGAATGACCTGCTCAATGCGTTACCAAATTTAGGTCTCCTGAGCCACAGACCAGTGCTCTACACACTAGGTCACAGTGCTTCCTCTGTTAACTTTTAAGTCTAATGAAAGTATTTTAAAAGTAATAATTTCCAATAACTTACATATGCAATTGTGCACCTATCTTGCACAATTATCATAACTGTGTGCATAAATTGAATAAAAGCACTAGCAAAGAGTCCAAAACCTCAAAAACAGCAGTGATGGTAACAAAGCCCTGTGCATCATCTTTTCCCCACTGAGTGACACTGCAAATAGTAACCTTAACAACAAAGTTAATTACTATGTAAGGGCCAGATTCTATCATGCAGTCTTTGTTCAAACCTCCCATTGTTATCAGTGGGAGATCCACTGTGAATCAAGGGTAACACACAACCCAACCTTCATAGACTCTGCCAACAGACTAGAATTAAAAACTTATCTTGGCCCTCTTCACAGAAAGTTTGACACTCCTGCTTTACATATGACTTGTACTTCATATAACTAGCAAGATCTGTGGCTAAGAAAATGGAACACTACTTTTACCAAAGTTTACTTTTTCCTGTGCTTGTTTCTTCTTTATGTAGTGACAGACAGTTGCTCTCCCCAGTTACCTAGTATGTTTATTTCAGGCTCTCCACCTCCCAATTGCCATATCATCTTCCCCTTCTGCTCCCCAACCCTCACTCTGCCTCCTACTGTAGACCATACAGATTCAGATCACATTGACTTCAGTGATACTTCATGTGGCCACAAGGGGTTGCCTGCAGAGAGCCAGCTGCAGAATCAGGCTCTCGGATATTATTCCAGATCACAACATAAAATGGTAAGGGACACCAACCTGAAATCTAGTTTATTTTAATATGAATGAGTTAAAAGTAGTGTCAGGACAGTACAACACTCACCCCATAGTACCACTACCAAATTATTTTCGCTTTGTGAACCACCAACACGAACAGAGAAAACCGTGAAACTGACTATACACAAAGTGCTGTCAGATGCAGAGACTGAAAAATTAGTTATTTTTCGCTCATCTATTTCAATTGTAGTACTCTTAGGGGTTATTTGTAATAGTAAGTAGGTAAAAAGTGTTTGGACAGGCATGATTTTTTAAAGCTGTCATATCCCTTTCATAAAAAACAAATAGCTATTTTGATTTTGGGGTGAAGAATGAAAGTTGCTCAGCTTGCAGCTTTGTTTACATACCTGAAATGCTGGACCAAAATGAGTGAGTAAGAATGAAAAACAAACATGAAAAATGGACAACAGCAACACCTATATGTTTACAAGTTGCTGAAGTTCAATCTCTTAATTCAACTTGTTTACCAGAGAAAGCGTCAAAATTCATTTGGATTAACATATAAGTTTGTGCAGTCTGATGAGGAAAATGCATCATACACAAACTTGCTTTTACATCTGTAACAAAACATACCTGTCCCAGTCAAAAGTCCAGCACTCTTCTTTCGTGCATAAGCGCGTAAGTGGTTGGACAGACTAACAGCACTTGTAAACGTCGTATTGCAATGCACACACGTTCTAAGCTTCACAGGCATACCTATCATTCAAAAGAAAACTATAATCCAGTTCTCTCTTCAAAAAATGAAATTCTCAAAGCGTTGTAAAAAGTTTTCTGTAATAAAGATGTTTAAAATATATTCACTGCATTGATGCAATCGTTCAGTATATTAGAAGGATCCAAATTAACCATTATTAGTTTTGCATGTAGCGTTTAGAGCCAAACCATGTTATTTTAAAAGAAAAGGGGGGTAAACCTTGAACCCCCAAGCTTCTCTGGATTTAACACCTATTATCACTTTCCTGCAGATCTCCACAGTATGCAGATCATTTCCTAACCCCAAAATACAATCCTGTGATTTGAATAGCACAATTCTGTTGAGAAGTTTCAAAGCCTGCAACATTCCCAATAAAGAGAATTAAAAAGTCTAGTTGACGAAGTGGTAATTAAAGTGTTTTACCCACAAGACTGTAAAAGGCTCACTACTAAATTAGGCTGCTGATGAAGGCTGGGAGAAAAGGTGGTAAAACACACCACTGAACAGCTGTTAGACAAAACATTTTATTCAGTGCATTTTATGTTCATTACTTTGGATGCGCAATCAATAATGAAAGTTAATGATTTGAAGTTTTTTGCTAAAATCTTTGTGCTAAATAAATGATCAACAAACTAACATCTTATTTATCACAGGAAAGAAAACATAGTGAAACAATACTAAACTCCTCACTTACCAGACAAAGAAACCATTATAATTGGTTTCTTCTCAAATTTACTGTGATACACATCAAAGAGCTTCCCTTCCCTTTGTCAAAAATACATTATCTTGGTCAATTATGTCAACTAATATTATAGAAAGCTTAAAATATGTTAGTTTAAAAATGTCTAGAGCTATTATGTTGGACAACTTCTGTATGCAGGATAGAATCCTATTATCCAGCAGCCCACAGAAGAAAGACTGCTTTTCAGGAAAATTACAGAACAAGAATACCTGATTGGTAGACAATTTTTTAAATTGAAATTGTATTAAAGATATTTGGAATAACTTATGGTTACAGAGATTTTATTTTCTTTTTAACTCAACAGTCATAGCGAGTAACTTGTCAAATTCTATTATCTTAGCCACAGCTAGCTTAAGGGCTTTGTTTCTAACTATTAGTATTATGCAAGTATATGTTCATTTTCACTTGATTTTTCAGTACAGCCAAATAGATACCACCTAACATTCAGAAGTAAATGTATTCAATTTGGCAAGCTATACTTCAGTATGTTTTTCCAAATATAGTGAAATCTGTCAAAGAGACACTTCCCTTATTAGGCAACTTCCTGTTTGAAGTGACCACCAAAAATACCCAAATGTATTTAATATAATTCTGTTCCACCTTTGTTACGCCAAATTAGAAAGTCACCTTTGTTAAGAAACTGATTTTTGTCAGACAATTGTGTGGTCCCGTAAGACAGATTTTACTGCACAGGCAAGTTATTTTTTAGCAAGGCAAACATACCGGTGACCAAGCACAGAGCGCTGCCAGGTATGCTGTAATGCACTGGAATATTGGCAAGAGAACCAGCAAAACCAAAAACTGTTCCGGGAATAAAATATGATCCTGTACTTCAGTATCTAGGATATTGCAGTACCAGAAAGCGGTGTCCAAACTAGGAGCAGAAACATACTAGCTATAATTCTGTTATCAAAGAATACTAGTAGTTTCCCTGACCAATGGAAACAGATTTTTTTTTTTTTTTTTGCAAGAGTTGCGTTAAGAACATCATTCTAAAACAGGGCTAGAGACTATCTAGCAAGTAGTCAAAAATTACAGAATTGTTTTATTAGCACAGTTCTCAAAGAAAAAAAATAAAATCTTTGCCCGCAACAGTCAGGGATTGTGCGTTAGAACCCTGCTGGCAACCACCGTGTTCAAACAGAGCTGTAACTAGCACAGTTCTTCTCCCAGCATCGACAGGGCTAAAAGGAGAACAGCAGGTTCCCACATCAGCCACAATTATACAACAAACATGCATTCATTTATGCTGAAGAAGCATGTTTGCCTAAAATGTTGAAATTATTCAATAGTAGTTCATAGTTTGGAAATAGTATGCCTTTGTAACACAGAGAATAGTTCTGTCAGCTTGGGTAAATGCTACTTCTGCACAAGTTAGATTACTCTCTGGGCGGTCTATGGGTTGCACCCAGCTACTTCAACTATTTTTGTTGAGGAGCAGCATATTTTGCTATCAAAAGTTGCTTATTTTCTGGCTCCTTTTAAATCACACCCCAACCACATGTCAAAAAAGAACGATATTTTGTGCAAGAGAATTTACTGCTGATGAACATTAATGCTGGGCAAGTTACACTAGAAGTTTATTGCACTCTCTTTCCCCTCAGTACTTTGCAAAGGAAACAAGAGTTAAATTAACTATGTTCTAGGAAAAATATTCTACACTGCAATACCTTTTCTAATAAATGAAAATTCTTTGGAAGCATAGTTAGACAGCTATAAACAGCCTCTTACCTGACTGCATAGTCAAGTCCATCCTTTGTGGCTGATACATCAATGGACTGTCTTCATTTAATGGAAGAACACATTTCTGAACAAACCTCTTTCTTGCAGTTTGATTATGGATCTTTTGAGGAGAGATATCAGGATTCCTTTCTTCTCCTAACCTTTTATTTTTCAGAAGTTCTATCAGTGTAAGTGACTGATTTTTTTTTTCATCATGTAGTACTGTTTTTGTTTCATCACATTCATTTAGGAAACTCAGACCTTCTTCCTCCGATGCAGACACTGAAATATCTTCAGTCTTTAGGCCATTATGGTATGCTTCAAGAGGTATAACATTTTGAGATAAAAAGTCATCATTTGAAGCAAGTTTCTGAGCGACAAATGGTCTGGGAATAATACGGCGACTGTTCAATGCTTTTAGGATTTTTTCATATTTTTCTTCATTTTGCATCATCTCATTTAGAACGCAGATTGGAGACTTATGTGCATCCCACTTGGTTTTGCCAAGCCTTTTCAGGTGTCCTCGCACATGATTAGACAATCCAATTTTCGTATCAAACCAACCTCCACAGAGTTGGCATGTGTGTTCAGAAGACGTTTCAGATTTCTCAATAGCTAAAAAGAAAAAATAATGATTTATCAATTTTCCAAACATTTTTGAACACTTTAACTGTACTTAACGCTATAAACTTTTAAATATGAGTACAAGAAGCCACCTTTTTTAAAGGCAAGAAAACATGATTCACCCTCTTTTATGATGAACAGACCATTATGAACAGACCTCTACCCCCCACTGCACACCCAAATTAAAAAATAGTACCTTTTCTAACTCGCTTAACAGGGGTTCCTGTTCCAGTTCTTTTGAAATGCTGCATTTTGTCACTTGTCGCTATCTGCTCCGGTGAAACAACATGGCGGGCTTCATAGCTTAATCCAGCTCTGTGAAGATGCCCACGGACATGATTAGACAATCCAACTCCTGTTTCAAATGTTGCTGGACAGTATGGACAGGACTTCTTCTCAAGTGATAAATCAGTCCAATGGAAAACTGAGTTATGCTTTGGCAATGCTGTTCCTACATTTTCTAAATTTTGAGGATCATGTAATTCATGCAGAAAGTTACTACTCTCTGCATCTTCATAATACTCAAAATAAAAACCATCATTCTGCTCATAATGAAGAGAGGATTTATCACCAGCTTCTTGATCCTCCATTTTACCTTTGAATAAAGGGAATAGGTTTACATGATCCTGATTAATATCACTGTAAGATTCATCCTCCATAGACTGTGCAGTGTAATCACATAGTTCAACATTATCCCATGAACTTTCATCCTCCGTTTCATAGCTGTCTTTTTTTTCAGCAGAGTTAAGTTTCTGTAAAACAACAACAGTCATTTTATGTAGAAAATCTGGATAGCAATCCAAATCATCTCCTGTAACAGAGCCTTCCCTCTTAGACTCTTTAACCACTTTTTTTACAGCTACACGCCTATGGTCTTTATAGCCTTCTGGCCTTTTGGAATCAAGATTATGAGAATCCATGATAAAACAATTATTATGGGGACTATTTGATGATGAAAATAAATGTAAAGAACTAACAGAGCTGGACTCTTCCTTTTTAAAATGTAAAGGATAAGGATCACTAGATTTTTTAATCATCCTGTAGTTTTCATATTTGTGCCTATATAAATAATTATTGCTTGTTTTGACACTAGCTTTTTGTTTTGCTGCTTGATGGAAATATTTAGGTTTTTGGTCAATGCTATTTTTAATCAAAATAGTCTTGTTTGTAGAGTTTTGATTGCACACACTTACAGCTGACTGTGAAACGCTTTTCCGAGCCTTCTGTATCCTGTGGGGTCTCTTGTGAAGTTTCGCAAAGTTACTGGATTGCGAAGCTGAGCCAAACGATCTTTTTACATCTTGCTTTAGAACAGAATTCTTTGGAAATGTAGATGATTGTTTGATCAATTGTTTAGTTCTGCTTCCAAAATCTAAAGGTTCTTCAATTATGCTGCTTTTTCTTTTTTCTAATCTGAGGTGGCTACCAAACGGATCAATGCACGATGTTGGATGCAAGTATTCCATGTGTTTTTTTAAAATGCTTCTGGCTGATGTAGTAAATGGACACATCTTGCACATATATGTGGTTGATTTTTTTGATGACCCTATATATGGATCTTTCACTGAAGTCTTTTTCTGTGTTTTTCTCTGGGACATATCACTACTGATAATTGAACACTTCACTACTGCTCCATGAGCAATCCCTCTATGGCATTCCAGTTCATTTTCTGTCACAGCCATGAAATTGCATTCCTCACAACAGTAATATCTTTTATCCTTTTCATGGGTTTTAGCATGTTGCACAAATGTTTTGGGACAATTGGTACCAAATACACATTGTGGACACTGTAATCGTGCACTTCTACCCTCATCCTGAAGTTCTTTCAACTCCCGGATTTCTTCCATCAGTTTCTGCCTTCTTTCCTGGTGAATTATCATGTGCTTAAGAAGTGAATTACGATCTCGAAATGTCCGTCCACATTCCCTACATGCATAGGGCCTTGGGACATTGAGATGACGGAAGTGACTATTCCCATCCAAATGATACATCATATGCCTATGCAAGTGTTTCTTCTCCCTAAAATTCACATTGCACTTTGTACAAGGATAAAATGATGGCTCATCCGTACTAAAAGTAGATGGTGATTCTGAATCATTCTGTTCACATTTGTTTTTTAAAGTACTAGAAAGAAAAGTGCTAGTGTGAACTGGAGAAGAATCTTCTGCACATTTGTTAGTGGGACTATAAATCAATTGTTGGATAGCATCAACAGCTTCTAACTCCTCATCTGTCGATTCAGGCTTCACTTTTGTTAATGCATATTTCTGTGGTTCTACTACTTCTAGATCCTCACTCTGCTCTAAATAGTCAACATTTAGTAATTTTGATTTACTGGGAATATAGTCTGTATCATTAAAACAATCCTCTGTATAACGTGTTATCTTGCTAACATCCATTTTTCTTTTTCTCTTTTTCTCTAGACCTACTTTACAGTGAACTGGAGACTTCTCTATTGTTTCTTCATTTGTCATAAGAAACTGTATGAACTCTTTTTGTGGATCCCAGTTTGTATCATTTCCTGATCTGAAACTACCTGTACCTGAGGAAATTCCTGTTAATGTATTGACACAATCATCGTCTACTAGTAAACTGCTATCCTCACATACTTCTACTTGGCTTATTAAAGTGCTATCTGATTTCACACTATTTCCTATAGATTTCTGTGTATCACAACCAACTGAAGCAGAGGTAGGTAGATTTTTAATGGAATGAGTCAGGTTCTTAGCCTGTGCTACATCAGGTAACAAAAATAACACTTGGTGTTGACTTGATTTCTGTGTTGTACTCTTTGCAGGCAGCTGGAGATCATGCACCACTGGCAAAGTTGAGCAGGAATCTGTATGACCCACAGGTTGTCCAGTGGTTAATGAAACACTACTTTTATTCATAATGGAAGTTTTAGTTAAGGTGGAGTGTGAAACTGGTCCATTAACAGCAGTTCCTTTAGGCAAGCTAAAGTTTTCAGTAGAAACAGTAGGAGCACCAGTATGTATAAATAGAGACTTCTGGCCTCCACTTAAGGCTTTTTCGGATCTGTCCCTTGACAGCTCTTCCGGCAGAGTCAATATATTGTTTTTCTGAAAAGATGTTTCACACTCTTGTGGTTTAGGAATGCCACTTTTCCCGTCAGAGATGAAATTGCTGTCATCTAGAAGTCCTTCTCTAGCACCAGTAATCTCAGTATTTATCTTTGAATCATCCATATTGCTGGTCTGTCTATTAAGCACATTTATACTAAAAATAAAAAGAAACACAGTAGTTAGACATTCAGAGAAATAGCTGATAAAAGCAGCTTTAAATTGATATTATTTCTGCAGCAATGTACTGTATTATGATTGGCTGTTTAAAGCTGAAAAATCAGTTTGACTGTGTTAAAAACAGTTCATTTGGGAGATTCAGGGCAGACTGTTTTCTAAATTAACTTGAAAAATAAAATGAATCCAATGCACCTCTCCCCCTAATTTGTGCAATGTTAAGGTTGCAAGATAAAGCATTAAAAACAAACTGAAAGTTCAAAAAGTTAAGTTTGAGATAACAATATTAACTTAGCCACATTACACAGCCTGTATACTTTTTGATATACATTAACATTTTCCAAGGAAAAGAAACAGTATTTCCTATGTATTTGCAATGGGCAGACAGTAACCTTAATTTGTGGAATTTCCAAAAGTGCTTACAACCTGATCTTGCATCCTTAACACCATTTCCCCCTTCTAATGTCCTACAGTTTGTATTTGTTTAAAAGGGAAAATATGGTAGAAACTGGAACTAACTGGCTTGTGCAGCTTAACACCAGCAGAACTTTTAAGGCCCCCAATCCTGCAAACACACATTCTTAACTTTACTATGGGGAGTAGTTCCACTGTTTCCAGTAGAACTACTCACAGTAGTAAAGTGGTTGCAGAATCAGGGCCTAAATACCTTGTTCCATATCTCTTGGGTTTGCACACCTTACAAATTTCATTGGCTTTGCACTTGTCAATTTACAGAAATTTTCTATTATATTCAGTGTGTAGTTTTCAATGGTTAGATCTTAATTAAATCAACACCAACTTTAAAACAAAGTAAGAGCAACAGTGCTCAGTGAGGATATTTGCTAGTATTTATTTTTAAAAAACAGAAAAAAGGATCTCCCTCTTTGCCAAATTGTCCGCCAGTCATCTATTTATACAACATTTAATCTCCCAATTAAAAAATGAACATGCAGGTAAAAAGGGCAGGAAAGAATTATTAACAAAAAATACTGAAAATACAATTTATAAGTACATTAATGTGGATTACAAAGCCAACGGAGAGTTCATCTTTAGCTGTTTACTATAAACATTGTAATCTACACATTAATGGTTACAGACATAAAACTACAGTTGGAAAAGAATAAAGACTTCCAAGATCACTATGTTAGAATCATTTCAATGAACTTGCATCATCAGAAAAGTCAAACACTTCCTTTAGCATCTGCAGAGTTAATCAAGAGAGCTTGTTCTGTATCTGAAAGCATCACCCACTTCAAGGTATTTGCCACAACAGACCCGACACTTACTATGGAACAACTTATTAAAACCTTTGTTCTGGTGGTCAAGGAACATCCCAGTACCAGAAAGAAGAAAACAAAAACCTAATTTCTAGTCTATGAGCATTGATGTAAACATGGCAAAGCACACTGAGTATATAGACAGACTTGGGTTATTTGAATCAATTAATGAATTTAAATGTGTCTTGCAAGAGAGAGGAGAAGTTGGGTGTCGGTCTTTCACTACTTCCTTATGCTATGTAAAGTTGGCCTGAAAATTTTTTCCCTCCTTCCTCCGCACCCTCCCTCCTCAACTCCAAAAATATTTTTTCTTCTGCTTGGTTTAACATTAGAATTTCCAGCCCCATTTAGAATGGAACACTCTGCCAACTGGAGAGCAAGTGTAATATGACATCTCAAGGGTACAAACAGTGAAAGTTAAGCAACTGAAAGGGAGAGAGAATTTTAAAGGTTTCAGAGGAACAGCCGTGTTAGTCTGTATTCGCAAAAAGAAAAGGAGTACTTGTGGCACCTTAGAGACTAACCAATTTATTTGAGCATGAGCTTTCGTGAGCTACAGCTCACTTCATCAGATGCATACCGTGGAAACTGCAGCAGACTTTATATATACACAGAAAATATGAAACAATACCTCCTCCCACCCCACTGTCCTGCTCTACGTAAAAGAATAAATGGACACAAATCAGATGTCAAGAATTATAACATTCATAAACCAGTCGGAGAACACTTCAATCTCTCTGGTCACGCAATCACAGACATGAAGGTCGCTATCTTAAAACAAAAAAACTTCAAATCCAGACTCCAGTGAGAAACTGCTGAATTGGAATTCATTTGCAAATTGGATACTATTAATTTAGGCTTAAATAGAGACTGGGAGTGGCTAAGTCATTATGCAAGGTAGCCTGTTTCCTCTTGTTTTTTCCTACCCCCCCCCCCCCCGATGTTCTGGTTTAACTTGGATTTAAACTTGGAGAGTGGTCAGTTTAGATGAGCTATTACCAGCAGGAGAGTGAGTGTGTGTGTGTATGGGGGTGGGGGGGATGTGAGAAAACCTGGATTTATGCAGGAAATAGCCCGACTTGATTATGTAAAGAGTTGTCACTTTGGATGGGCTAGCACCAGCAGGAGAGTGAATTTGTGTGGGGGGGTGGAGGGTGAGAAAACCTGGATTTGTGCTGGAAATGGCCCACCTGTTGATCACTTTAGATAAGCTATTACCAGCAGGACAGTGGGGTGGGAGGAGGTATTGTTTCATATTCTCTGTGTATATATAAAGTCTGCTGCAGTTTCCACAGTATGCATCTGATGAAGTGAGCTGTAGCTCACGAAAGCTCATGCTCAAATAAATTGGTTAGTCTCTAAGGTGCCACAAGTACTCCTTTTCTTTTTGAGAATTTTAAAGGTGTATCAAACTAGGCACCCAAAACTTGAGGTAGCCCAAATCACTAAGCACTTTTGAAAATTTTGATCTTTGTTATCTGTTTGTTGTTAACACATATTTAACTTCAATTACTAATTAACATTTTGAATAAAGAAAGCCTCTGTTAAAGTCATCACCTAGTCTCCTTCAATTAAAGCGTCACAACAAACATCCCTGGCTCCTCCCAGTGGTCCTTCAACAAAACCAGGGAAGACCACACTTGACATCCCTTTTTCCTAAAATTAAAATTAAAAATAAAAATCAAGCAGTAAGTTAAAGAAAGCGCACTTTCCTCTTATTAACAAATCAAAAAGTAGTAAAATGGACCCATGCTGTCTTTTTTTTTTTTTTTTTAATCCTTTATAGTTCACTCTAAAGACAATCTCCTCCTTCTGACACAAAGCCAGCAAATGCCAGGCCTCATGGAAAAGCAGCTGCTATGCTACTTATATTGGAGCCAATTTACCGAGAAGGAAAAGCACAGATTTACCAAGCTACTCTTAATTTTCTCCCTCAACAACGCTTTTTTACGATCTTATTTTCCTCGCGTAGTTATTCTGTACCACCTTATAAAAACTAAACTGGGCTGAAGAGCGTGAAGAAGAAAAGATAATACAAGTACGGTTGTATAATGCTTTCCATTACAAGCAATATATAGCAAAAGCTTTTCTTCACTGTATCAATATTCAGAACAATTCAATAAGTAATATAGCATTACTCATAGCAGTGTGCAGTCACAAATACATAAAGTATACTTTAATGACACATCATTTAAACAGATAAGACAAATCTAGTTTAAATGGATTTATGCCATATCCTTAAGTAAACTTAACGAGACAAAACATCAATTTTTAATCCTTCCATTTCTCCAATTTTCAAAATTCTATTATATGTTGAGATTAGCAAATTTCCACAGTAATTAAAAGACTTATAATAAGATCATATTCAATGTTATCACCCTAAAATGGCGATAATGCAGCACCCAGCAGGAGTCTTTACATCACATACACAAGTTAAAAATGGGTAGCACAAACGTACTACAAAGCAGTAGTGCAAATGTCAGTTAAAAGAGAAGCAAACTCTAAGGATGCACCACAGTTTCCCTGTCCATTTTCTCATGGAGTAAGTGTAAAATATTGAACTCTCAATCATATCAGGTTATTCAACCATTCTGAAATAGAGTTTAGAGATTTCATCTTTTAAAGTTATTTATGCTGAAAAGATTTGTATTTTTCTCATCTTATTATATTCACAGAGGTAGACAAACGTATGCTCAGTCAATTTGAGAGCCTATATTAGTTTTTCTCAACAGGAAGCAACGTTGCTAACGAAGTGGTAAATTCAGTGTTAATGAGTGGCTTCACTGTTACCACCTCTTGAAGTAAAACCTTCCATGTTCCATGTTCCACCCATCTGTTCTGGTGTTAGGGGCTCAGAGAAAGAACAGACGCTTCCCATTTAAAGCAACTTCATTGGTACCCCCAGAACAGCAGGGTGGCAAACTGAGAATATCATGTCTGCTTGGAGATTGCAATCCTCATTATCAAAAATGGCTTCATGAAAACTTTCCACAAGTTCAGATGAAGACACAAAACCATACCGTTGCACACGTGAAATTGTAAATGCATAAAGACTTTAGTAATCTATAGGGAGTACTTAATTTTATTAAAATTATGGAACATGGAAATATTACAATCCAACCACCTCCAGCTAGAAATTTACTTTAATGCCATGATGAACAACAGTTTAATTATATCAGATATTTTTATTTTTCATAAATTACTTCAGGTGTTATAGGTTTATGAAGATTGATAATGAGTCAGAGAGGGCTCGATCAAGACTACCAAAATTGATAAGAGTCTTTCCACAGACTTCAGCAGGCTTTGGATCAGGCCCCCAATGCATTCTACTCCAACACTAAGATGTATCAGATCATTTTAAGCTAGTTGTAGCATTCTCCCACCTATGAACAAAGTGTTGGTGCCAATTAGCTGGCACCAAAGGATGAAGTAACTATGTTTGCAATGATTTTAAATGTCTTTTTGTGAGTGTATTGGCAGGCAGAGATTTGAGGCTGAAATTCAATACTTAAACCTATTGGACTGTACTTGAATACTACAACATACAATCACCCACTCTGATATCCTGAAACGGATGCAATAAAACAATACGCAGGGCTAGATGGTTTTAAGAGTGTTTTATACCGGGCTTTGAATGTCCTTATTTTTAAGAGGATGTTTATGTTTGAACCTCAAGAAGAACAGTGACTTACTGAAGTGTAAT